CATCTTCATCTATTCATTTGAACTCTGTTTTCCTTGTCATGACAAATGTGGGATTTCCTTGCATATTTTATTACTCATCATGTTTATAGAAAATATCAATACCAATATTCATATTAAAGAGTTTTGGGTGAGATGTTGGGGGAAATTAAAATGTTGACTTCAGAAATATATTAATTTTCTTATAACATCTCGTTAAAGAAAAGTGAAAAATTAATTTGTTCCTTGCAATTATAGTGCTGTAGGGCTCTAGTCTTGCAAGCAGAATAAGTGATAGGTTTATCAAAATTTCGAGGGGACTAATTGTATTGAATCAAGAAACCAAGAAGTATTCACACAGAAGCTCGACCATTCTTTCCAACTCATGCAATAAGAAGTTGCTCAACTACTACAGTGAAGGTTGCTTGCAATTTTAGTTGTACTATCATTTTTAAATTAAGGTGTTTAAATTTAGTTGATTATTTTTTATTTAAAAAGATTATTTAATTCATTTATTTATATTTTATCTTTAATTTAAGAAGATAATTATAAAAAATATTATAATAAACATGCCAATATAAATTATAGTTAATTAAGCATGAATATAAAATTTTATCAATTAATTATTATAATATATCTTTATTTTATTAAAAAAATAAGCCAACTAAAATTGTGCAGAAGTAAACCTCGTACAAGTTTTCAAAGGGAAGCTTCTTAACTTATTATTATTTTTTAATCATGAATTGCACAATTAAAAGTCACCTTTGTTAATCCCTTAACCTACCCTTAACACATGTCATGTGATTTGAATTTAAGATTTTTTATTTCAACTGAAAAGATATTGCTACTAAATTAGTACCTTTATTAGTAAATGATATTGGTTATGAATACTTAAAAATAGGTATTACCGTAAGTAATGCCACATTTACATTCCAATAATATATGTAGATTAAATTTTGTAATTGGTCTCCTCTTTTTTTTTTGGTATAAAATGATACTTAGTTTTTGGTTTCTGCTATGTTAAAATTCACAAATTATAGGGTTTATTATTTTTAAACTCCAAAAAATATCTTTAATTTTAGCAAATACTTGATAGCTTGAAGAAGGGTATATAATCAAGAATTTCTCTCTACCTCGGATCAAGTTCAATTGATATTTTATCCACGTATGGTTTGCTTGGAAAGAAACATTGATAGGATAGAACTTTATGACTCTTCTTCTTTTGCTGTGATAATCTAAATGGGTAAACACAGAAAGAAACATCTTAGATTATTACATAGCGTAGAGGAAAGTGGAAGGGAGTTAGGAGCAAGAGTACAGGACACTGCTAAAGAAGCTTCTGAAAAACTCAAATGCTGCAAATTTTGCTTGAAAATACATAGTGATTAGTAAACACTTCAGACAAACTACCTAGTTCTTTCAGACATGATTTCCATATCTAATTTTTTTTCTTTTGGAAACCACCTAAACCTTTCAATAGAAGTCTTTCAAGTTTCTCTCATTCGGGTTGGAACTTTCATACAAGCTCTCATCAAACTCTGCTTATATTGCTGCAGCTTCACCCTCATCTTGCATTATGAAGTTATCCAAATTCCAAAACCTTACATAACAAACATGAAAAGAGCTGTGAAAGATGAGGAACAATGGATGTATGTCATTTTATGTTTTCCCTTGTTCCTACCAACACCAATTATGTCTTCTGGCTTCCAACCTACACCAAACATGTCTTTGAAGCCAGAGGCCATCCATTTTAGATCACTTGCTTTGCAAATGCAGAATCAAAGTGATCAGGCACTAACATTGCTAGCTTTCAAGAATAATTCCGTTTCCGCTGATCCCAAAGGTTTCTTGGCTGATTGGACTCCTGGGAATTTCAGTCCATGCTCATGGCATGGGGTCATCTGCTTTCCTCCTGGACAAGTTGTTCATGCACTCAACTTCACCAATGCTGGCCTGATTGGCCATTTGCATATCAATAATCTTACTGTCCTGGAAAATCTCCGGTATCTGTATTTTAGTGGAAATTCTTTCTCTGGAGATCTGTTCCTCAATAACTCTTCTCATTCTTGCACCCTTGAAACACTTGATTTGTCAAAAAACAACTTGTCAGACCCAATCTCTGAAACATTTTTCACCGCTTGCAAGCATTTGGTTTCTGTAAATCTTTCACATAACTCAATCCCAGGAGTTAGTTTCAACTTTGGACCTTCTCTTGTCCAGCTTGATCTCTCAAACAACAATATTTTGGATTTCTCAATGTTCAGATACTTCTCTCCAAGCTGTCAGGCTGTAAATCTTGAAAGCAAATTTTATGGAAAACCTGATAGCTTCTCAGGCTGCAGGAATCTATCAGTTCCAGGAGGAGCAACGACCACCATCATTCCTTCATATATACCTATGTCCCTTAAGTTTCTGGATGTCTCTCACAACAACTTAAGTGGCAACTTCTCAATGCTTGAATTTGGGAGTTGTGCAAGCCTTCAGGTGCTCAACCTGTCCAACAATGCTCTTTCTGGCACTGGAATCCCTCAAAGCTTGACCAATTGCCAGCTGCTCAAGAACCTTGACCTTTCCCATAATAAGCTGCAGGGAAAAATCCCCATTGAGTTGGGACATCTTAGAAACTTAACACATCTGACTTTGGCAAATAACAACTTTTCTGGTGACATCCCACCAGAATTGAGTTCCATTTGTGGGAATCTGCAAGAGCTTGATCTTTTTGGAAATAACCTTTCTGGGGGGATGCCAGATTCTTTTACATCATGCAAGT